ATTTTGTTAACAATTATGCGAGATTAAAAGTGGATCCTTCCTCGGGCCTTCAGATGAGACCATAGCCTGACCAATACCTTCACAGCACTCTTTTGAGAGACATTAGACAGAAGCATCCAGCAAAGCCACTCCTGAATCCCTGTCTCACAGAAATGGTGTGATAATAAGTATCTGAAAAGTTTTAAGCTGCTAGCTTGGGGTAATTTGTTACTCAGCAATAGAAAACTAATACATCTGTCTTATTCCATTCAGCTGCTATAACAAAATACTGCAGAGTGGTTGGCTGAAAATAATGGAAATTTATTTCTCATAGTTCTTCAGGGAAAAGGTTGAGATCATTGTGGTAGTATGGTCAGGTGAGGGCTCTCTTTTGGGCTGCAGATGTCTTATTGTATCCTTATATGGTAGAAGGGGCTAGGGACCTCTCTGGAGCCTCTAAGGTACTAATCCCACTCAGAGGGCTCTGGCCTCATGACCTAATCACCTCCCAAAGGGCCCACCTTCTGGTTCCATCATATTGGGCATTATAATTTCAACATATGAATTTGGGGGAGATAGAAATATTCAGGCATAGCTTTCTCTCCCTGGGCCCTCCAAATTCAAGTCCTTCTCTCATGAAAAATGCATTCATTCCATCCCATTCCATTCCAAGTTATGTGCTTCCAAAATACAGTGGTGGGATAGGCATAGGACAGACATTCCCAAAGGGAGAAACAGAAAAGAAGGATGGGGTGATGGATCCCAAATAACACTCACAAGTTCTACCTTCCATAAAACAAGAGAAAACAAACACAATTCAGCCAAATTCTTTATAGTCAGGATTAAAATTTTCTCCATCAGCCAAGAGCATGTTTGTTTCTGAGACTTCATGAAAATTACCTTTAATATTCATATTTTTGCTAATGTTCTGTACGTGATTATTTGTGTATTCTTTAAGAAGATGGAAACTCACTCCCCCTCTTTCCTTTCTGAGCCCCTACCAGAATCACCTTTGGAAGTTCCTTCGTGGCAATCAGCATTTTCTAACATGCACTTCAAAGCTCTGCTGGCCTCTACCCATTATCGAATTCCAAAGCAAGTTCCACATTTTTAGGTATTTGTTACAGCAGCACCCACATTTGGTACTAAGAGAGTAGTGTCTTAGTTTGTCTTAGTCACCTCCTAATACCATCACATTGAGGGTTAGGGTTTCAACATATGTATTTGGTGGGGGCATAAACGTTCAGTACCACCTGAACTCCCTACTTCTCCTATTCTAATTTCTCCTAAGGCACTTACCATTACCTGGTACATATTTTACTTATTTCTCATTTTTTATTTCCACCAACTAGAATATAAGTAATGAAAGAGGATTTTTGTCTCATTTTTTGTTCACTGCTCTATCGCCAACACATAGCTGAAGCTCAATATATAGTTGTTAAATAAAAGAATAAATGAATATTGAATTTGCAGTCAAGTGATGTATGTTAGGCTACCAACTCTCATTAACAAGTGGTGTGGCTTTTGAGAAGTAAGCTGTCTGGATCTTGAAAGTAAGTGTGCTAAAAATCCTAAGGATAGAAAATTCGATGATTTAAAGATACGTCACATAATCAGAAAGCAGCAGTTACTGCTATACAGTAACTACACAACTGCAAGCATATTTTTGTCTGATTGTTAGTCACAATGAGAAGAATACCTATTTGGTATATCCATACCATAGGCAGAGATTCTCAATCATACCTGAGAAGTTAACTTGAGAAGATAAGTCTGAGACTCATTGGATTCTGAACTGTCGGAGCCTCGGCTGCTACAAAAAATAACTTTGATATAATAATTATTAAGTTATTTTAATTATATTTATATTTTATTTAAAGTTACAATGTTTAATTTATGAACAATCTATTTTAAGTATAAAAATAATAAATAACATTTTGGTGGCATTTTAAAATTTTAACTGTTGCTTTTATCCTATTATTGGAATGGTAAAAATGGTTCTAATTATAAGAAGAATGTTTACAAAGGTAAACATCACAAATAAATTTGTAAATATTACAAAGTGAAGATGTCATAGTTCTAGGCATCTCAGAGTATTAGAAGAACAATGACTGAAATTGGAACACATCAAATAGAAACAAATCCATGAGTTCAAAATGATACTCTCCATCTGCAAACAAACTTATTAGTCACCTCTGGAGGTTGCAGGGGCACTAATGCAAGGTCTGAAAATTTATAAATAAAGGAAAAGAAACATTTGTTCTGTCTTTCCTATAGGAAACTGTACAAAATCAGTACCTTCATTCTTCCAACAACATTCCCTTAGCATTAAGTTTTGCATTTGTTATTCGCTAATTTAGAGTATGTATGTGGCATCTCTATAAATGTGTCAATTCTCTGTGGGTAATGTCAGCATCAAAAACGATTTGAGTATGTCTTTCATGTACAGGACATAATAGGTGTTCAAGTCATGTTACTTGAATAAATAACTGAAGTCTTAATGAAGCTGGACCAAAGTAAAGTGCATGGAAAACTTTTCCTCCACCTATAGTTGGAATTTTCAGTTGAGACAGAATTTTATATCCTCCTGTTATTATAAAGAGCACAGTAACACAGCACAAACTATGTTACATCCACCATCTTGACTCACCTAGACTCTAGATCCAGTGTCATTTCTTTCAGAGAAGTATCTGAATACTCAAGGATTTTTTCCAAGTTTATATGTTTTTCCATTTCTTCTAATTCTTTCAAGCACTGATAATACTATGGGAAAATGATAAATTAATTACAAATTAACTCTATTTCCTAATTAAACTAATTGAATATTTATAGACACCTGGAACAATAGCTAGGGGGACATCAAGTACTAGAAACCTCAAACACTGTTAGGATATTAAAAGAAAAACAACTGCCATAGGCCCTTAATTAGTTATATTACCTCATAAACTTGAGTTTGATACATTACCAAATGGACTTTGCTTACCTTGGTTTGGTCTGGATCACAATAATCCAAGAGAGAATCACAAAAATGGTATCCCACTGACTCCAAGTCTTTTGTGTTGAAATGAGTGCCCCGTTTATTACCTAAAATATCAATAAGTTTATCCACCATTGAGGATGAGTTAATCACTTGTCCTTAATTGGTAGGCCTAAACTGTAAAACAGAGTATAAATAAACAAAACATCTGATATGGTTCTATAGCTGTCCTCTGGATTTTCTTCCTTGGGGCAGGTCATCTGACACCTCACTGCTTGTCCTCCTCCCCTCTCCACCCCTGGATCAAAGCTGACTTAACACGTATTAGTCTGTGTTGTAAGGCAGAAGAAAATTTAGTAAGAAATTATGGAATATTTGGTTACCAGTTACACTCATAATCAATTAGTGAAAAATGCGGGTAAATATTTTAATGTTTTCATCATCATAGAGAGTGTTGTATCAGTTTCAAGGTGCTTTAAAAAACAGAAATTATACGTGTGGATTTCTAGCACTTTCCTTTGAGTCAATAAATTTTCTAAAAATGTAACAATTTTCTTAATATGGAATATTCTAAGGGTAAACTAGATGTGACTAAAAGATTTCTTAAATGGAACTAGAGAGCACGCTTTTATTTTTAGTTAAAGGAACCGAGTGCTTCCATTAAAATATAAATTGACCCCCTCTAAGAACCCCCAACAAACCCAGTCTACTTTGACTTGCAAATAGCAAATCCACCAAAAACATTTCTATCCTGATATGTTAAGTATGAGCATTGCTTTTTCTTGAAATCACAAGTCATCTGTAAGGACTCCTTAAAAACAAAATGAAAACAAGCAATTAAAGATTAGTTCATGAAATAACCAGTTAGGTATTCTATCTATATGCTAACACTTTGTTTTCTAAACAAAGGGAAATGATGAGATGGAGATACAGAGTGGTAGTTTGTTCATCCTATATACAGAAGCAACTGGACACCAGCATGTATCTAAGTGGGAAGGAAGTGCCCACTATCAAATTGTCCACCCAATTAATCTCACACTAAAAATATTTCTTTGGTTTAAAACTCTGAGAGCCATGAATGAGAATACTTGGTCTTACCCAGGGTAGAGCCACAAAAAGTAGCCTCCATGGTAAAGCTGTTTCTGATTCCCATTTTCCACATTACTACCCTTCCTGTTCCCTCTTTGCTCTTCTGAACATTAAACTTGCAAGCTGAGAATGAAAACTAAAAAGAAGCAAATAAAAATGAGAAAATGTGTTTTTCTGAGTACAATGTCTTTCTTAGGAAGTAGGGTTGAAAATGAGAAAGTAGTGCAAATGCAGTAATTCTCTCTAAAGCTTCAGGGGCTACTTTTATTTCCAAACCAGTGGAAATAACTTATTTTAAGGATGACATATTTTCATTTCTCAGAAGTACAGATTTGAGAACACTGGCAATAAATTTTACTTTTTATATATAACATACGCATTCTTGATTTTGTTGGGATAAGCTCTTATACTTCAAAAAAGTTATAGGAAAGGGCTTAAATATGTTTAAAAATAAAATTAATGTAGATGTTTTGAATAAAATAAGGGTGCTTTACTTTTACAAGCTTAATCATTGGAAAGCTGTCCTGAAAGACTGTTATAACGTCAGTCTCTCTAAAAAGTTTTTGCTATTTTTTTATTTATAATAAAATTAACTTGTGTTCCATCCTATGAGTTTGACAAATGTATAGATTTGTGTAGCCACTACCACAATCAGGATATAGGACAGTTCCATCACCTCTAAAAAACTCCCTTGTGTTATTCCTTTGCAGTCACAATTATTTATTTTGAAGCTACAGTAAATGGTGTCATTTTCAGTTTTGGTTTGCGATTGTTCAGTGTGAGTATATAGAAATGTAGTTCATTTCTGAGGGGGGACCTTGTCATGTAGGACATTGCTAAACTCACTTATTAGTTCTAGGAAGGTTTTTTGGTGCATTGCTTTGGATTTTCTATGACGACAATCATGTCATCTTTATTCCAAAGTGTCTGCCTTTTCTTTCTTTATCTTGCCTTTCAGCACTTAGAACCTCCAGCATAAGGCTGAATTGAAGAGGTTAAGTGTGGTTATCCTGGCCTTGTTCCTGCCCTTATAAGGAAAACAGTCTTTTATCATTAGGTATGGTGTAAGATAAGGTGCATTTTTTCCTTCACATTTCAAATTATTTGTCACTAAATATTCCACGTAGTTGCTTTTTTATGGTCAACTGTATAAGGCAGTCGAAAGAACTAAATAAAAAAGCAGTTTACTGAACAAGGTGATCTATTCTGCAGTCTCACATGGGCAACATGTAATAAAGGAAAAGTTAAAAATCTTAAATGGTCTTACTTTATCTGGACAATTTTTGCTCAGCATAAGTGGGAAGATTCGTTGCTGTAAGTATAATGCTTTACATCTATCACTACCATCACAGCCATACATGAAGATATTCTCTTTTCTACTATGGCCATGAAGGTCACAATATAAAATAACCTCTCGTTTCTCCATCAATCTACCGAGAAAAAAAAGAAGTTACTAAATGAGTTACCAAATTTTACCTCTGCATTTTTCTATGGATTTACAAGTCTAATATCCAAATAAACAGAATTTCTTATATCCTCACTTTCAACTTCTTTCTCTTATCCATACCGCATATTAACAATTTTAAGACATCTACAATAATTTCCTATTAGCTATATATAAAATACGAATGCTTGCCTTCCATTATAAGGACAAAATTTACCTTACTCCCAAGACTCTCCAATAGGATCCTCTGCTTTATTATTCTGGTTTTCCATCGTATAAAGAGAACAGCTCACTCCTACTTTGCCCATTAGCTTTCACAGAGATTCTTCCTGACTAGAATACCTACTTTCTTCATTTCCGTAAGTACAAATACTGCCCCTCATCCCTCAAGGCTGACTCCATGTCTCACTTCCTAACCAGTCAAGACCACAGATTTTTCTTTTTTTGAATTCCTACAGCACATAATATTGGTACCATTTGCTGACATTTGCCTTGGAAAGTTTTCATATTTTTGATATTTAATCTTAAGAGTAAGAAATGCTTCAAATCATCTAGAACAGTGCTATGCACAAGAGTACCCAAATATTTGTTAAAAATTGAGTACCTGACAACCTGGTGCTGAAGCCAATTATTATACAACCCTTGATTAAAGTGGTAAATACTATTTTGAGAAAAATGGTACCAAAGTTTGAATTTTTTTTCTGGTAAATTTCTAATAAGTAAGGAAATTATTACACATTTCTTAGGAGCACAATCCTAAGCTTGTATAACTTAGGCACTCAGTGAATATTTAAGCAATAAAAAACAAGCCCCTAGGGACGCGTGGGTGGCTCAGTCAGTTAAGCACCTGCCTTGGGCTCAGGTCATGATCCCAGAGTCCTGAGATCGAGCCCTGCATCTGGCTCCCTGCTCAGCGGGAAGCCTGCTTCTCTGTCTCCCACTCCCCCTGCTTGTGTTCCTTCTCTCGTTTTGTCTGTGTCAAATAAATAAAATCTTTAAAAAAAAAAGCCCCCCCAAACTGACTGATGAAAATAACTAATGGAGAGGCTTTAAAAAGGTAAAAAAAAAAAAAAAAAAAAAAAAAGAGGTATTAAGGTGGTAAGATGACAGGCATTTTTTGCTTTTTTTCATATTTCTAAACTTCATGCATTATATTATTTAAATAACCAATATTACATACACTATTTGTTATACCTGGAAGGATAAATACCAAAATGTTAGCAATGATATTTATAGTAATATATGTATTACTTTTATAACAAAAATATTAAAACCTAAAATCAAAATATTCAAAGCATAGCTTCTATCAGGAATAATACTTCTTTAAACTAGACTATAAACTATACTACTTCTTTAAACTATAGCGAAATCCCAAAGTGAGGTCTGTTACATGTATTAATTGACTGCCCTTTTCTCATTTGGTGCCCAATAAATTCGAATTGATAATATAAGACTGACATAAAGCCACTAAATGATCATTACAAGTTTTTAGAAACCTAAGTGGATTATAAAGCAAGATTATCAAGTTAGGGCTTTAAATATGAAATATGCTGAACATTTTTTGGCCAACATTTCCCCAGTTTTAATGATCTTTCAGTTTCTTACACATAAATCAAAATAAGTAATTCCCAAAGATATCTCATTACTTCCAAAGGGTCTAATTTTACATGAATTTAAATCACTTGAGAAATGGCTTGGGTCTTTCTTCTTACCCACAGGCTAAGATATTCTAGCATCCTATACTAAAATCTACTCTTTCTTATTCTCATATTCCTTAAATATACTAAATCTTAGATATACTTACAGCTGCTTGCCTTCCCACACATATGTGACATCTTATTCTACTTACCTAACTATGATTAATTGCATTAAAGTAGTTTTCTCTCTTGGAAGTCTTTCTGAAACTAACTGATTGGATTCCTGCCTTAACCTTACAAGGCAATCTGAGAAGAATGGAGACATTTAAAGTATTTTCCATAGAGACAAGCCAAAGGGCCTTGGCCTATAATCCATCTTGTGTTGGACCAGGGACCCTTAAAGTCAAAGAGCACTAAGTAGATATTATAGATATTCTAATCAGCTTCCTTTCTTATATATGTATTTTACATTTTGGAATAATTTTAGATTACACGAAATTTGCAAAAATAGTAGAATGTTTCCATAGACCCCTCACCCAGCTTCCCCTAATGTGAACAAATTACATAACCATGGTACAGTGTCAAAAATGAAGAAACCAACATTGGTACACCACTAGTAACTAAACTCCCAACCTTATTTGGATTTCATTAGTTTTGCCACTAATGTCTTTTCTGTCCCAGAATCCAATCCAGGATACCACATTGCACTTCACTCTCTTTTGGTTGTTTGCCATCCCCAGAAAATAAGGAAGTCATGGTGGTTTTTTTTTTTTTTTTAATCTTTTATCACTTAACATTTCTCAGATAACTACAGGGAATCCTGGAGTCCACATCTTTGAGGGGTATGAAAACAAAGAATTTTCAGTCCTTTTTGAGGGGATCTGCACTTCACTCCTTCTGTGCCTAAGCAGATAAAAGAATTAACGTGGAAGTGAAAGTGGAGGCTGAACTGAGATGGTTGGGGCTATGCTTCTTGGTGCTTCTGAAGCCTGTCAGCAACTTCGAGTGACGGGAGGTATCCTTGAGGGCCTCAGCCCTGAAACAGGGTCCTTGTACTTGCACTAGGGGCCCCGGTAACAAAGTGGGATCAGGACACAGACACCCTCTATAATAGTACTTGTTGTAAATATTTGAATAATCCTAAAGAGTTTACAACGAGTTTTTACATCTATACCTGATTCATCAACAACTTTTTTTTCTTTTTATATCTGAGCTAACACTGAATACATTTAGAGCTTTCAATGCTCCATATTTTATTCTGGGCACTTTATTAATAATATTCTCATTTAATCCTCCTGCTTATGAGTTTAGTATTATTACCATTTTATAGATGAGAAAATTGAGGTTTAGATTTGTTTTTAAATTGCTCAAGGTCACACAGTTAGTAAATGATATAGCAGGATTCCAATCTGATATTTTAACTCCACTCCACACTCTTAGCCAAAAAGGTTAAGGGGCTTTGGACTTGGAATGGGGTTCTGTGACTCTAAATCTTTTTGCTCCAGCACATGCCAATTTCTGATTGTTATCACCTGAATCTATTAAAGAATTCACCCATTCAACAAATATTTAAATATTATGTGCATTTACTGATCTGGATTCTTTAGAAAATTTAAAGCTATTCAATTTTTTTTCTGGGGGGAAATAACACTATAATTCATCAGTTTTATTTTAATAACTACGTATCCTGATAGAAGACTTATCATAATAAAGAGTACACTTATCATGATGAGCACTGAGTAATGTACAGAATTGGTGAGTCACTATATTGCACATCTGAAACTAATATAACATTGTATGTTAACCATACTGGAATTAAAATTAAAAACTTAATAAAAAAAGGCTCATCATAGAGCAATGTATGATCAACATATTGCCAGGAGGCCCTGTGAGATAGAATTAATTTTCACATGTAAGAGATTCAAGCATCCCAAACTAAACATCAGTGTTACCTTTAGCTTTAGCAAGAAACCAGATTTGGGATAAGCAAATTTAACTATTAGTTTCACAAAGCCATTAAAATGTTCTAGAAATTTATTCATTATTTAAGAAAAGGCTAGTGAATCCAGTGGCATAATGCCAGAAAGAAAAGTGGAAAGAATGGGGAAAAAATTAAGTAGCTATAGTTAAACTATCAGTTAAGCTATCTTAAAAGCAAGAGTAAAATGAATGGGATGGTGGGAGCAAAAATCTCACTACCAAGTTTACTAAATAAGCAGAGAGGTAATTTGAGGCTTATTTTACCTACGGATCATGTTCCGGGTATACCAAACAGAAGGAAATGATTCCTTCAGGAGAGATGTATAATTGCGGTTTAAATCTCGTCCAGCTAAGGAACAACGGTAATTTCCCACAATCACACCATCTGGATTCAGCATGGGTACCACCTTGAAGATGAAAGTGTCCCGAAGCAACTGCGCATCACTTGAATCTCCTAAAATATAATCTAGGAAGCCTTTCATGATCCAAGAGCTGTTGGTTTCTCCTGGATGTACCCTTGCAGTCAAAATCACAGCCTTTCGCTTTCTTGAGTCAGTGCTCTTCAAGGGAGTAGTGATTGTTAAAACATACACCATGTTCCTAGCAATTGTGTGGCACAAGACGCGTATTTTGCAAAACTTTGACCGTACTGAGTCATGACTGATAGTAGAAAGATATTCTTGCAGGTTGGTGTAAGTATATGGATAGCAGTGAGCAAAGTAGCAGGTGTCTTTGTTGTGTGGAAATTGAAATGTCCATGTAAGAGAGAAATAATGGCACCCCTCTTGTCCCTGGTTGTTCCTGTAATACTTGATTTGGTCTCCTATTCTCTGCCAGCCAATATTATGAGCCTTGGCTTCTTTTTCAGAATAAAAGAGTGGGCGCATACCCCGACTGTAAAGACTAGCAGGCTTAGTGAAATTGATTATAGTGAATCTGTAGACTATTCCTGCTTGGGTATTAGCAACTTGGAAATAGTACCACTGGGTGTGTTTATTTGTGAAGAGGTCAGGGCGCACGGTCAACTGGTATTCATATTCTGCTCTAATACACAGAAGGAAGGAAAGAAAAGCACATAAAAACGTAAAAATGACATTCAAGTTCAAATTAAATAAGGAAAATTATTTTACTTTTACCTATTCACAGAAAGCCTTTTTTCCTGAAGCTGTTTATTTAGGCAGCATCCAATAGCGAGCAATTGTAAAAGATAAGTTTTGAAATTTTCTCTTTTATTGGATCTGAAACTGCTTCTATGCTAATTCTCTAAAGCCTTTTTATTTTTTTGTAATTCAAGAGAGCACATTAAAATGGGCATTTGATAAAAAATTGTATATTTCAACCCAATTATGTTTCCTATAGAAGAAATGATTAAAGAGCTCCTAAAACTGAATTAAAGTCTGATGTTCCTTTTTTTACTTCAGATATATATTCCTGCTTTCTATTAGATTCAAACTCTAGGGATCTGAAATACTATCACTTAGAAAGGTTTAAAACATAAATTAATACAACCACATACATTAAAAAATTTGAAACTCTTTGAGGACTGTATTTGATAACTATTTGCATTCCCCATACTTAGTCACTGAGGATACTTAAAGGTAAAAATTATTTTACTGGTACGTTTGTTTTATACACATATACACACACAATCTTACTGGGTTAATTGTGACTTTTTCTTTACCAAGTAACCTTCTATTCCACCAGCACTATGTACTTCCTTTGTGTGTATGTGTGTGTTATCAACAGTGGCCTACGAATAGGTGAAATGAATAATGCAAAACCATAGCTGTTGCATCTAGGTGATGGGTATGTGATGGTTAATGGAGAACTGTATTATTCTCCATACTTAAATTTTTTTATAGTAAAAATTTTTTAAAGAATGCCCTTGGATAGCATGCATGTTCCCAAACATGTTTTACAGAATATTCATCCCAAGTATTATTCCATTAAAAAGTTTGAGAAGCAGTGTGCATGTGTCTCTATAATTCATATTGGCATATTAAAAATGTACAGTACAGGGGTGCCTGGGTGGCTCAGTCGTTAAGCATCTGCCTTCGGCTCAGGTCATGATTTCAGGGTCATGGGATCGAGCCCCGCGTCGGGCTCCCTGCTCGGCGGGAAGCCTGCTTCTCCCTCTCCCACTCCCCCTGCTTGTGTTCCCTCTCTCTGTGTGTCTCTCTCTGCCAAATAAATAAAATCTTTAAAAAAAAATGTACAGTACAGACACCTGTTTGACTTAAGTTCAGAGTATTTGAATCCATAATGTGCACCTTTCATACCCCCTTCATAATCATCTCTAATTGGCATCATACCTCAAGGAATTGCAGTTCATTTATGAATACTAAAACTTTAATGTACCCAATACCAAAAGTAATAAATAGCTGAAGGTCTAGCTCCTCAAATAAAAATAATTAAAACCTACACTTTGACTACCTTCTGTAGATTTCCACTCTCAAATCTTGCTTCAAACGTCAAAGTATTGTCATAGTTATCCACAGGTTGCTTCAGAGGTGTTCGGTTGCCCCCTACTCGGGAATACACAAAACAGGGCTCCTTGTAAGCTGATGACAGAAGAAGACCATAATATCAAACCATGTCTAAAGTATACAGATTATTCTGCATAAAGTATAATTGAAGTGTCACTAAGGATTTTAAATCTTTAAGTAATCTGACACACAGATTTGTTGAAATAAGAAAATCTAAGAGTATTCAGACTAGAAAAGCAATGCCCAAAATAAATTCATGTATTTCTCACATTAAAAATATTTATACTGCTTCTGATTATTATGGAGTAATGGGTCCTGAATTTGCCCTTTCACTATAAGTAACTATAAAGCTGGACCAAAGAAAATGAGCTGTTTTCATGCATCTGGATAACATATAGACTAGGACTATACAGAACGTTTGAAAAAAAAATACATGAAGTAAGTCCATGTCTAACCTTGGCTTTCTTCCTGGCAATACTGTCTGACTACATCTTAAGAAGGTGGCACTTAAGAATAGTAGTAGGGCAGTCTTATTGAGCTGAGGCGGCAAGACTGTTGCTTGTGGCTGCTGAAATGTATGAGGCAAGACACCAGGGAGAAGAAAGCTACATAGATGAAGGGCCTCAACAGTCTACACCATGGTTTCCCAGTCCCTGGCTGAGGGTTTGGCTACAGAAGCACAGGATAAGACTCAGTAAGATAAGAGAGTATTAACTGTGGGGCTGAGGTATCAGATATGCCATTCTAGGTAGAGTATATTGTAATTTGAAAGCATCCAGAATGGAAAGACTTCATTGAGTATCTCAGGCATTCAATCATGACTCCAAAAAGGCTGCATATTTGGTATAAGTACCATATCCAAGGGCAAGGACAATGACCTAGGACTAAATGACTAACACAAAATGAAAATAGACCTGCCCTTATTAAAAAAATAAATAAAACCAGAGTGCCTGGGTGGCTCAGTTGGTTAAGCATCTGCCTTCGGCTCAGGTCATGATCTCAGGGCCCTGGGATCGACCTCCATGTCAGGCTCCCCACTTGGGGAGGGGGGCTGCTTCTCCCTCTCCCTCTGCTGCTCCCCGTTTGTGTTCTCTCTCTCAAATAAATAAATAAAATAAAAAAATAAAAGCAAAGCTGAAAGAAGCAAAATGATCTGCCAGCAATTTAACTGCCTACCAGAACAAAATTCAGCACAATTTTTGAAAAGAACATAATACAGACCCCTACGACCTATCTTTCACAATGTCCTGCATATGATTAAGAAAAAATTATGAAGCATGAAGAAAAGCAGGAAAAATGTGATCCATGGTCTCACACACACACACACACACACAGAATTGAATTGAATATATATATTTAAAGACTTGAAGGAAAAGATACAGATAATGAATAAGCAGATAAAGTAATCTCAAAAAAAACCCCAAACTACAAAAAAGAACCAAACGAAAATTCTAGAAACACAACAGATATTGGCGAGGATGCAGAGAAAGGGGAACGCTCTTACACTGTTGGTGGGAATGCAAGCTGGTGCAGCCACTCGGGAAAACAGTATGGAGTTTCCTCAAAAAGTTGAAAATGGAGCTACCCTATGACCCAGCAATTGCACTACTGGGTATTTACCCCAAAGATACAAATGTAGTGATCCGATGGGGCACCTACAGCCCAGTGTTTATAGCAGCAATGTCTACAACAGCCAAATTATGGAAAAAGCCCAAATGTCCATCAACAGATGAATGGATAAAGATGATGTGGTATATATATATAATGGAATAGTACTCAGGAATCAAAAAAATGAAATCTCGCCATTTCCAATGACATGGATGGAACTAGAGGGGATTATGCTAAGCGAAATAAGTCAATCAGAGAAAGACAATTATCATGATCTCACTGATATACAGAATTTAAGAAACAAAACACAGGATCATAGGGGGAGAGGAAAGAATGAAACAAGATGAAACCAGAGAGGGAGACAAACCATAAGAGACTCTTAATAATAGGAAACAAACCGAGGGTTGCTGGAGCGGAGGGGAGTGTGGGGGTGGGGTAACAAGGTGATAGACATTAAGGAGGGCACGTGATATAATGAGCACTGGGTATTATATAAGACTGATAAATACTGACCTCTACCTTTGAAGCCAGTAACACTTAATTACATGTGAATTAACTGAATTTAAATTAAAAATAAATTT